CAAGGTTAAATGCCCTGGAAGACAAAGTAACGTCAAACCTGAACAGGTTTAAGAGGCTTGCTCAAGCAAGCTCACTGGGCCCTTGAGCTTTGGTAGTTTTTTGTTGTTTATTTGTTTTTGTAGAGACAGGACCTTATTATGTTGCCCAGGCTGGTCTTGAACTCCTGGCTTCAAGTGATCCTCCCACCTCTGCCTCCTGAAATTCTGGAATTAGAGGCATGAGCCACCACACCTGGTCAGAACTTTGGTGTTCCTAAACAAAAATCTAGAAAAGCTTTTCTTGTAGAGGAAACAGAACAGTCTCCTTGGGGGCTTGGCCTATGTGGCACCTCTGGGGAGTATCGGAAAAGGCAGCTCAGGTTGGCATGGCCCATGACATCAGTATTGTAGTCCAGACACTGGGTGCCTGTCCACCCACCATGGGGCAGGGCTCAGCCAGGTCCTCACCTGTAGGGGGCACGTGCTCTCTCAGTGACGGTCGGCCACCGAGAGAAACAGTGCACTGACCTCAGTAAAAGAATGCCAAGCTCTTTCTTTCTCAAGTAATGTGGAGGAAAAGGAGCTCCTGCCAGGTGTAGAAGAAAGAAGAAAACCCGTTCTTGGCAGCAGGGGAGTCAGGTTGCCACAGCAACGAGCTTCTTCCAAGTCCACTCATTAGATGGCTTTTGAATTAGACTTCCTCCTGTGCATACATCTCGCTGCACTCATTCTCTTGTTTTCCGCCTGCTCCTTTCCCAAGCTCCTCCCGGGGAAATCACCACAGAGGGGAGTCACCAACCCCTCCTTTCAAGGCTTGGTCCTGTGTGTCCCTGGGATGATACAATATTTACTTGTCCATTTACATTGGGAAGAACCTGATTGCTGTGCAGGGGGAAGAGCCCCCTCCTCCTCTGTGGGTGGGAGCGTTGACTGGTACAACCTTTTAAGCAGCAATTTGGCACAGTACAAGTGCATACCCTTTGATTTCATGGTTCTGGGCCTTAACCCTGGCATGACAGCATTTTTGTGTAATAACAATCAAAAGCTGAAAACGACCTTCAAATCCCTGATGGGAGATGGGTTAAATATCAGCTATGACACTAGACAGCTATGGAATAATGAGCTAGAGCTTCTGTACCCATATGGAAAGATGTACTGTTAAGTTAAAAAAAGTAAGTTGTTCCAACTCATAGAAACAGAAGGAAGGGTGGCTGCCAGGACCGGGGGGAGGGGGAAATGAGGGGGGCTGTTTAATGGGTATAGAGTTTCAGCTTTGCAAGATGAAAACATTCTGGAAATTGATTGTACAACAATGTGATTATAACACTACTGAATTCTAAACTCAAAAATGATTAATAGGCTGGGTATGGTGGCTCACGCCTGTAATCCCAGCACTTTGGGAGGCCAAGGTGGGCAGATCACGAGGTCAAAAGTTCAAGACTAGCCTGGCCAACACGGTGAAACCCTGTCTCTATTATAAATACATAAATTAGCCAGGCATGGGGGCACATGCCTGTAATCCCAGCTACTTGGGAGGGTGACGCAGGAGAATTGCTTGAACCCAGGAGGTGGAGGCTGTAGTGAGCGGAGATCATACCACTATACTCCAGCCTGGTGGACAGAGCAAGACTTCGTCTCGGAAAAATAAAAAGGTTGAGATGGTAACTTTTATGTCATATGTGTTCTTTACCACACAAAAAAAGTTAAGTTTCAGAATGGAATTGGGAGGAGACAAAATAAGCTGTTATCAGTGTTTACCTTTGCAGTTGGGGAGATTAAAGGGGGAAAATGTTACTTTTCATTTTATTCCCTTCTTTTGGAGAGCTTTTTATTTCCCCTGGATACAGGGTCTCACTGTCACCCAGGCTAGAGTTCAGTGGTAGGATCTTGGCTCACTGCAACCTCCACTTCCCGGGTTCAAGCAATTCTTGTAATTCAGCCTGTAATGTAGCTGGGATTATAGGCGCCGGCCACCACACCTGGCTAATTTTGTATTTTTAGTAGAGACAGAGGTCTCACCATTTTGGCCAGGCTGGTCTCCAACTCCTGGTCTCAAGTGATCTGCCTGTCTCAGCCTCCCGAAGTGTGGAGAGCTTTTTAAAAATATGTAATTAATTTCACCCAGGCATGGTGGCTCATGCCTGTAATCCCAGCACTTTGGGAGGCTGAGGCGGTTGGATCACCTGAGGTCGGGAGTTCAAGACCAGGCTGATCAACATGAAGAAACCCCGTCTCTACTATACTAAAAATACAAAATTACCTGGGCATGGTGGCACTACTGCACTTCAGCATGGGTGACAGAGTGAGACTCTGTCTAAAAAAAAAAATGGCGCTAGTAAAACTGAATTCCACAAGCCACGAGTGAGGTTGGACCCCTACCTTATACCATACACTAACATTAACCAAAAATGGGTCAAAGACCTAAATTTAAGAGCTAAAACTATGAAACTCTTAGAAGAAAATACAGGAAAAACCTTCATGACATTGGATTTCTTAATGATATCTTAGATATGACACCAAAAGCACAGGCAACCAAAGAAAAAATTGATAATTCAGCTACATCAGAATTTAAAACCTTTGTGCAAGGAATACTATCAACAGAATGGCAACCTTTGGAATGGGAAAAAAACATTTGCAAATCTTATATTTGATAAGCAGTTAATATGCAGAATATATAAAGAACTCTTACAATTAAAGAATAACAAAACAAACAATGGAATTAAAAATGGATGAAATACTTAAATAGGCATTTATCCAAAGAAGATATACAAGTCACCAATAAGCACATGAAAAGGTGTTCAAGATTGCTAATTATTAGGGAAATGGAAATCAAAACCACAGTGAGATACCACTTCATACTTACTAAGATTGCTATAATAGTAAATCTTACTAGGATTTTTATAATAAAAAAGACCAGAAGGCCAGGCATGATGGCTCATGCCTGTAATCCCAACACCACTGGAGGCTGAGGCAGAAGAATTGCTTGAAGACTGGAGCTTGAGACTAGTTGGGTAACATAGCAAGACATTGTCTCTACAAAAGACTTAAAACTTAGCTGGGCATGGTGGTACATGCATGTAGTCCTAGCTACTTGGGAGACTGAGGTGAAAGGATCACTTGAATCCAGGAGGTGGAGGCTGCAATGAGCTATGATCACACCACTGCACTTCAGTCTGAGTGACAGAGCAAGACCCTGTCTCTGAATAAAATAAAAGGAAAGACGGCTGAGCACAGTGGCTTATGCCCATAATCCCAGCACTTTGGGAGGCCAAGGCGGGCAGATCACCTGAGGTTGGGAGTTTGAGACCAGCCCGACCAACATGGAGAAACCCTGTCTCTTAAAAAAAAAAAAAAAAAAAAAAAAAAAAGAACACGTATTGGCCAAAATGTGGAGAAATTAGAACCATTGTGCATTGCTAGTGGGAATGTAAAATGGGACAACTGCTATGGAAAACAGTGTGGCAGCTTCTCAATGATTAAAAGTAGAATTACCAGGCTAGACATGGTGGCTCACACCTGTAATCCCAGCACTTAGGGAAGGCGAGGTGTGCGGATTACCTAAGGTCAGGAGTTTGAGACCAGCCTGGCCAACATGATGAAACCCCGTCTCTACTAGAAATACAAAAAAATTAGCCAGACATGGTGGCAGGTGCCTGTAATCTCAGCTATGCAGGACACTGAGACAGAATAATCACTCGAATCCAGGAGGTGGAGGTTGAAGTGAGCTGAGATCGTGCTGCTGCACTCCAGCCTGAGTGACAAGAGTAAGACTCCATCTCAAAAAAATTTAATTAAATAAAAATAGAATTACCGTATGATCCAGCAATTCCACTTCTGAAACAGATATTTGTACACTCAGGTACACAGCAGCATCATTCACAACTCAAAGATAGAGGGAACCCAAGCGTCCATCAACAGATGTGGATAAACACAGAATGGTGTATACAGTGGAACATTATTCAGCCTTCAAAGAGGAAGAAATTCCAACACACACAATGTAGATGAACCTCGAGGACATTATCTAAGTGAAATAAACCAGTCAGAAAAGGACAGACAGTATATGATTCCACTTATGTGAGGGACTTAGAGTCGTCAAGTTCACTGAGACAGAAATAGAGTTGGTTACTGCAGGCTGGGGTGTGAGGTGGTGGGAAGTGATTGTTTAATGGGTGTGGAGTTTCAGTTTGGGAAGGTGAAAAAGTTCTAGAGATGGATGGTGATGATAATGGCACAACAATATGATGTACTTTAATGCCACTGAACTATTTTAAAATGATTGAAATGGTAAATGTTATGTTTTATATATTTGATCACAATTTTTAAAATCTCTTCCCTGTTTATCTTTGGCCATCATCCCTGCCTGTTGAGGCCTCTGGGATCTCGGAGAGGCACCCCAAACCCTATTTGAGTATCAGAGCCCTCTGCATGATCCTTTCATCCCATTTTCCCCCCTATTTATTTATTTATTTATTTCATTTTTTTGAGATGGAGGCTCACTTTATTGCCCAGGCTGGAATGCAGTGGCACGATGATTGCCACCTCCACCTCCTGGGTTGAAATGATTTTCCCACCTCAGTCTCCTTCGTAGCTGGGATTATAGGCATGCACCATCATGCCCACTAATTTTTGTATTTTTAGTAGAGATGGGGTTTCACCACATTGTCCAGGCTGGTCTTGAACTACTGACCTCAGGCGATCCACCCGCCTCAGCCTCCCAACCTGCTGGGATTACAGGTGCGAGCCACCATGCATGGCCCCCTACTTTTGTTTTTTTTCCTTTTTTTTTTTTTGGCTGGGAGCCCTTTCTCAATAAATCCCTTGCATAAGAATACCTGACTCAGGTTCTGCTTCTATGGGGCTGACGACAACACCTCATCTATTTCTTTCTTTATAAAATCATGGGGTGTAAAAAGTCCCTCCAGGCAGGAGTCTGGTTTCCTTCTGGGTAGGAGTCTGCTCCATTTTAGCAGCTTTCCAAGCAGCATCCCGCTTCTCCACATGACTGTGGACGACTATCTTACCATGTGCTCAGGAGGGCTCCAGAAAGCATGTGAGCATGGATGGTGTGATCCCAGCCTCCCAAGTAGCTCTGTCCAGGTCATGTCTGCAGGGCGACATCAACGGGAAAACCACACTTGCTCAGGCTCAGCAGGCCAAAGTCTCAATCCCATCTGGATTCATTTTTCAGGGCTGCAGTAACAAAGTATCACAAACTGGGTGACTTAAAATGACACAAATGTGTTGCCTCAGAGTTTTGGAGGCTGGAATTCCAAAATGAAGGTGCTGGCAGTATCATGCTCCCCTGCAAAACCTGTAGGGAAAAATCCTTCCTGCAATCTTCCAGCTTCTGGTGTTTGCCAGTAATCCTGGCCTCCCTAGCAAGTACCAATTGCATCACTGCAATCTCTGCCTCTACTGACGCATAGCTATCTGCCCCTACGTGTCTTCTCTCTTCTTTTTCTTTTTTTCTTTTGAGACAGAGTCTCGCTCTGTCACCAGGCTGAAGTGCAGTGGCACGATTTGGCTCACTGCAACCTCCGCCTCCCCGGTTCAAGCAATTCTCCTGCCTCAGTCTCCCAAGTAGCTGGGATTACAGGCAGGCGCCACCACGCCCAGCTAATTTTTGAATTTTTAGTAGAGACAGAGTTTCACCATGTTGGCCAGGATGGTCTCAATCTCTTGACCTCGTGATCCACCTGCCTCAGCCTCCAAAATGATGGGATAACAGACGTGAGCCACTGGGCCTGGTTCTTTTTTTTTTTTTTTTTTTTTTTTGAGACAAGGTCTCACTTTGTCACACAGGCTAGTAGGCTGGAGTGCAGTGACTTGACCAAGGCTCACTGCAGCCTCCACTTCCTGAGTTTAAGTGATCCTCCCACCTCAGCCTCCCAAGCAGCAGGGACTACAGGAATGTGCCACCACCTTCAACTTATTTTAAAATGTTTTGTAGAGACAGGATCTCACTATTTGTCCAGGCTGGTCTCAAGCTCCTGGGCTCAAGTAATCCTCCCACCTTGGCCTCCCAAAGTGCTGGGAGTACAGATGTGAGCCACAGGGCCTGACCTCCCCCTTCTTTGTTTTTGGAGATGGAGTTCTGCTCTTGCTACCCAGGCTGGAGTGCAGTGGCCCCACTATACTCACTGCAACCTCTGTCTCCTGGGTTCAAGGGATTCTCCTGCCTCTGCCTCCCGAGTAGCTGGGCGCCCACCACCACCCCTGGCCGATTTTGTATTTTTAGTAGAGACAGGGTTTCTCCATGCTGGTCAGGCTGGTCTTGAACTCCCAACCTCAGGTGATTCACCTGCCCCAATCTCCCAAAGTGCTGAGATTATAGGCATGAGCCACTGTGCCCGGCAAGGCCCCCCACTACTTCTCATAAGGACACCAGTCATCTTTGGTTAAAGGCTCCACTCACTTCACTAACTGCATCTGTAATGATCATGTCTCCAAATAAGGTTATATTCTGAGACTTCAGCATATATTTTTTCCTTTTTCCTTTTTTTTTTTGAGACAGAGTGTCCTGTGTCACCCAGGCTGGAGTACAGTGGCACAATCATGATCACAGCTCACTGCAACCTCTGCCTCCCAAGTTCAAGCGATTCTCCTGCCTCAGCCACCTGAGTAGCTGGGACTACAGGCACACGCCACCACACCCAGCTAATTTTTGAATTTTTACTAGAGACGGGGTTTCACCACATTGGTCAGGCTGGTCTCGAACCCCTGACCTCGTGATCTGCCCGCCTCGGCCTCCCAAAGTGCTGGGATTACAGGCGTGAGCCACCGCGCCCGGCCATCTTCAGCGTATCTTTTTTGGGGGACAGAATTCACCCCATATCAGCATCTCTGCCATTTGTTAGCAGTGGGCTGCCTCAAGTCATGTAAACTCTCTGCTTCAGTTTTTTCAGCTGTAGGAATGAGAATACCAGGGTGGTATGGCTAGAGAGTGGAACACATGGGGTATTTTCCACCCTGGTACCTGGCACGTGGAGGTAGGCGCTCACCAACAGTGATGCTCTCCTCAGCTGCATTTGCCTGGGTTCCGGAAGGCTATCATCACAGCCCCCTCATCCTTCCCCAACTCCACCATGCTGCCTTCACACTGACTGCTCTGCAGGAGATCTTAGTTCTCCCCTAGAGGTCTAGATTGTATTAATAAAAAATAACCAGGGCCTTTCAGAAGGTTAGGCTTAAGGGTCCATTATTTAAGTGCCACTGCCTGTGATGACTATGAGTAGTAAGAGTGCTAAGTGCATATTGGGTGGACAACGAACATGCATAAAGGCTCAACACACAGCCCTTTCTGGCCACAGTGACTTTGCACTAAGTGCAAATCAATCTTCAGGGGCAATTTCCTGTTGTCAGGACAGAGCTGTCTCCCCTCTTCTCACCCTCCTGCTGCTGTGCTCTGGCTTCATTCTGGCTCTGACAAAGGGGTGAGTGTTCAACATTTCTCTTAATTGACGTAGTGACAGGTCCTTTTGCTGACATCCTGGCATCTCTCTGCCTCAGCACAGCATCAACCTGAAATTGTCAGCTGTTTTCGGAATAATAGATTCTCTTCTGGATCCAAGCCTCAAAATTTGCACTGATTTTATTCATTCTAGGATGTCAGTAGATCATTTCATTTATCATTTATTATTTTTATTTTTGAGACAGAGTCTTGCTCTATCACCCAGGTTGGAGTGCAGTGGCACAGTCTCGGGTCACTGTACCCTTCTGCCCCTCGAGTGCAAGCAATTCTCCTACCTTAGCCTCCCAAGTAGCTGGGATGACAAGCGTGCACCACCATGCCCGGCCAACTTTTGTATTTGAGATGGAGTTTCGCTCTTGTTGCCTAGGCTGGAGTGCAATGGCACGATCTTGGCTCACCACAACCTCTACCTCCGGAGTTCAAGCGATTCTCTTGCCTCAGCCTCCAGAATAACTGGGATTACAGGCATGCACCACACCATGCCCAGCTAATTTTGTATTTTCAGTAGAGATGGGGTTTCGCCATGTTGGCCAGGCTGGTCTCAAACTCCTAAACTCAAGTGATCTGCCCACCTCGACCTCCCAAAGTGCTGGGGTTACAGGCATCAGCCACCACGCCCGGCCTACGGTAGGTAATTTCAATTTGCCATCCACAGCCACCCTCACTTCAACTTCCCACAAAGTGAGGCAATGAAAAGACCTATGTTAACTTTGAAATCTCTTGTCCCCTCACCTTGTGAAGGCTTCTCTTCAGTCATCAGTGCTTCTCAAATTTTAAAATGCAAACAAATCACTTGGGACCTTGTTAAATACAAACTGAAATTATTTTGAGACTGGGTCTCTCTGTTGCCCAGGCTGGAGTGCAGTGGCACAGTCAGCTCGTTGCAGCCTCCACCTCTTGTGGCTCAGTAGATCCTCCCACCTCAGCCTCTTGAGTAGCTGAGACTATAGGCATGTACCATCATGCTCAGCCAATTTTTGCCTTTTTTTTTTTTTTTTTTGTAGAGACAGGGTTTCACTATGTTGCCCAAGCCGGTCTCGAACTCTTCCCGACTTGGCCTCGCAAAGTGCTGGGATGACAGAAGTGAGCCACTGTGTCTGGCCAGATTTTGCCTACCTAACAAGCCTTCATGTGCTGCTGAAGCTGTCGGTCCACAGGTCTCACTTTGCATGGCCACACCTACATGCTCCTTCCCGTCTAAGTTGGTAGATATGCCATGGATGTGACAGGTAGGATGACCAAGGTTTGCCCTGGTGCTAGAGGAGCAGGAGGGAGAGACCACCTAACTGCCCAGGGGAGGTAAAGAAGACCTCCCAGGGCTGGGCGCAGTGGCTCACGCCTGCAATCCCAGCACTTGGGAAGGCTGAGGCAGGCAAATCACCTGAGGTTGAGAGTTCGAGACCAGCCTGACAAGCAGGGTGATACCCCATCTCTACTAAAAATACAAAAATTAGCCAGTCGTGGTGGTGCACACCTGTAGTCCCAGCTAGTTGGGAGGCTGAGGCAGGAAAATCACTTGAACATGGGAGGTGGAGGCTACAGTGAGCCGAGATCACACCACTGCACTCCAGCCTAGGCAACAGAGTGAGACTCTATCTCAAAAAAAAAAAAGGAGACCTCCAGAAATATAAGCCACCATGAACCGGGCCAGTGCTATTTGTGCTTCTAGAAAGATCACTCTGGGACCAGGCACAGTGGCTCATCCCTGCACTTTGGGAAGCTGAGGAGAGTGGATCATCTGAGGTCAGGAGTTCAAGACCAACCTGGCCAACATAGTGAAAGCCTGTCTCTACTAAAAATACAAAAATTAGCTGGTCGTGGTGGCATGCCCCTGTAATCCAGCTACTTGGGAGGCTGAGGCAGGAGAAGTGATTGAACCTGGAGGGCAGAGGCTGCAGTGAGCTGAGATGGTATACTGCACTCCAACCTGGGCAACAAGAGTGAAACTCTGTCTCCAAAAAAAAAAAGTATCTCTGGGAACAGCCTGCTGTGTGGAGAAGTGTGGAGAAGGAAAGGAGGGCCTAGACTGAAGGTGGAGGGGCCAGAGGAGGCTCTTATAATATCAAGATCAAGTGTGATAAGGTCTGAAATAGGATAGAGGCTGTGGGGCTGGAGAAGAGGGTAGGGCATGGGAGGGGGAACAGAGGGGCAGTCAGCTGGTTGTGGGAGGTGTTGGAGGAAGAGGAGCCAAATTGCACACCCAGACTGCTAGGTCTGAAAGGTGTGAATGAGAAACACCCTTCCTAATGAAAAAATTTCCACCAAAAAAAAAAAACAAAAACAAAAAACAGAGAAACACCCTTCCAAGGGAGATGCCAGGCGGCAGTGTTCTAAGGGAAGAATGAGGACCAGGAGAGAGCATGCAGGGAGTAGAATTAAGTTTGCCATTGAAAGGGGTTCCAAGGCTGGTCGGGGTGGCTCACGCCTGTAATCCCAGCACTTGGGAGGTCGAGGCGGGTAGATTGTGAGGTCAGGAGTTCAAGACCAGCCTGGCCAACATAGTGAAACCCCATCTCTATTAAGGACACAAAAAATTAGCCAGGCATGTGCCTGTAATCCCAGCTACTCGGGAGGCTGAGGCAGGAGAATTGCCTGAACCCAGGAGGCGGAGGTTGCAGTGAGCCAAGATCACGTCACTGCACTCCAACCTGGGTGACAGGGCAAGACTCCATCTCAAAAATATAAATTAATTGAAAAATAAATAAATAAAAGGAAGGGG